ATATAAATACTTTGTATAAGTGTTAATACCCTATTGATTTCGGTTATCAATGATATTTTTTACACTTTTTATTTAAAAAAATTCATTTGATATTCATATAAACTTATATCTGTAGTTAATTCTGCACCCTTGTGAATTGGAATTTCAAAGAGTAGAAGAAAGTCAAACTAGGGGATAAAAGCTGTGTACAATCCGTCTGAGTTTTTCATTTCTGCTATGAAGTCTATTTTGGGTTTCTTTCTCCTTTTTCTCTAACTTTATTTATGTGAAGTTACAAAATCAAAGCATTTCAAAGTGAAGGCAACTTAATATTACATTGCAAGTTATCAGAGTAGTATTTCTGAACCACATCATAAAGTGCTTTCTAGCAAGAATTTGTTAATGCAGCCTAAGTTTTGATACATTTATAGTTATGTCAGATAGGCCGCAGTTCTATCCTGTCTCAGTTGCTTCTGTCAAAATTATCTGAACTTGAATTCATTGATTCAATTTAACTTTTATGTGGATACATATGTTTTTCTTGAGTCTCTGGTGATTTGAGCTACAAAGGATTCTTATTCGATGCGAGAAGCTGTAGACTGTCTTATTGCTACTTCTGGTTCCTCATTACTTCCCTTTCTTCTGATTTCATCATCTCTTTACAACTTATTTGTTGATGATGTGATTATTTCTTCTATCTGACCATTCTTTAGCAACCATACCTACTTTAAGCAATAGGATTCTGAGCACAACATTCCTGGGCTGGTCTGAGTGCATAGGCAATGAGACAGAAAGCCACAGTTGACGGATGTCCCAGAATATCCCGTCTACTCTCTCACTACTATTGGAAGTTTGTCTCTTTTAGCTTATGCAAAAACATTCTCTTTATCTATATTTCTCAATACCTATATGAACTTTGTTTCACTTTCTTCTTGCCCAGCTGCAAGTTCTTTAGTATATTGATATATCATGGACGTGGTTCCAAATGCAATGATAGCATGGATTTGGTGTCCATGTAATACCTCAGGCTCAAGAACTACTGGCCAAATAATTTTCAAATTTAAACTATTAATTCTCAAAGATTCAAGCTAAAATTATTGATAGTGTGTAGCTTAAGAATTTATATGAGGTTTAACTATCACATATCTCTTTAGTATGGGGAACTAGGTATAACAATTTTTATAATTTAAATCTTTTATATTTTCATCAAGAACACACATCACAATCACAAATCATAATCCAATAAGTTATAAAGTTTAAGATCACGCCAACTTGAAGTCACTAAATTAGCATGTGCTCTAATAACATTTCTAATGTTCTTATATGAAGGACAATAATAATAAATTAAATTCTTGTTGTGTTATTTTTTTTTAAAAAAACAAATTCTTATTGTGATGTTTAATTTTAAACCGAAAATATATGTATCATTAAATTTTACATAAAAGTTGAAGTTATACATAAATAATAACCTAAACTTTTGAAGTCAAATGATTTGAAGTCAAAAGTTGTTTGTTCAAGCTTCTTGGGACCGGAGCATTACGAATGATATATCAGGATTCAAAAGTTTAATTCATAAACTATTAATTAATTGAACTTCAACTTTTGAGAGTCGGTACGTACCAACTCGGTGACTTTTAAATTGGTGCAATCTTGTACCTTATAGTATTTGGATTGTGATTTGCGATTGTAATATGTAGCATTGATGAAAATATCAAGAGTTTGAGTTATAGAGATTGTATATTTTAATTCTATGTTGGAAAATATGTGATTGTTAAACCCTATATAAAAACTCAAAATCACAAATCAACGATAAGATGAGTTCGAGTTTTTGGAGGACCATTAATTTAAGTTTAATAAGTTATTGAGTTAGTGATGCTTGGGCCTGGAGCATTACAATCTAATGCTTCTTGTTTTCGTGAATATGTTGCAGAAGATTAATGTGAGTATCCTCAGTTAACCTGCGGTTGTATTTATTTCCACTCCCAGATTTTAGGCAGTCTGCTTGATAAACAATGAAATTCATAATCTCAGAGTTGAAGCAACCTTCAAAAGATGGTATTTGAAAAGGTTTCCCATGTCTTTCCTTATGTTGAACAAAGTAAAAGCAGAGTTATTTTGGAAAGCATGAACTTATGCATTATGGACACACACTTATGTATTATGTAGCAAAATGTATCATTCTGAGTATATCTTTTGTACTAGATAATCTCCTGAAATTTTGGATAATTATAGACACAACTATATCACCTACAAAAATTTTATTAACCAGGACATGAAAAAATCTATCTTTCTGCTATTGCAGGTGGAGACTGATTCTATAGGATATAAGGGACAATCCAGATTCTTGACTAATACAGGCTTCCTCCCAAGTCCCAAGTAGTAGTAGGAGGGTACCATATGGAACAGAGACAAGGGGAGCACAGAGTCTTTGGACAGAATAGTCCCAACAAATCCTTCTGGAACCTCAATCCTCCTATCAACTTTTGCAAAAATGTTTCCTTCATCAGCTTCTCTGAATAACAAGATGAATTTCATCTCGCTTTTCTACAACCCTGTTGCGAGTTCTTTGATCTGTTCATCAGTCATCATGGTTATAGTTCCAAAAGAAATATATATAACAGATTTGGTGCTTGTCTGTCTACCCATTTAGGTATTCATTATTGGTATTTCTGTTCCTACACTCACTGATCTTAACTCGGTTCAATGGTCCTATTGCCCGTCTTTTCTTTTCTCTGTTGACATATCTTCACTAGAAGATCGATGTAGCTAGCATCTATCAATCTACATATGTTGTGGAGTTCTCCAGCTGGAAAATCCATGAAATGAAATTGATGTGTCATATAATCTGTGAACTCAGGCTGAAGCAGCCATCAACTGATGGAAGCCTCTCTTGTATCTCAGCTTAGACTGGGAAAGGTTTACCTATTTCTTCTCATAGGTTGTAGAAAAAAGTGAAAGCACATGTACTTTGGAAACAGTAGGCTTCTGCATTAGAGATTGTGGCTGCATCCTGAATGATGGATGTCATTTATCAAGTCATGTATGATGACTATTCTTCTGGCTTTTACAGAGAGCACATTACAGGCTTACATAGATGCAAGCAGGCATCAAAGGATGGCTGGAGATGCTCAGGAATTTTTCTGGAGGGATTGGGGTCAGGTGGAAAGAGGAAAGGAGGAATTGAATCTGGTAAGAATGCTTTTGATGAAAGCCATGGTCACGAAGCTTGACCTGATGATCATGTATGGTGGAACTGACATAATCAACTGGGATTTGTGGGATGAAATTAGAAAGGAAGCTGTAGTAGTTGGTTGAGATGGCTTTATGCAGGAAAAGGCACTATGGTAACTATCACTGCAGCTTCTCTAAGGTGAGTCTGCTGCTCATGATCTTCCAGGTATTACATGTCTGCCATTGATGAAACTGGGCTAATTTTGAAAGCTTGTAGTCATGATTTATGTCTTCCTTTAGTTATACATATATATATATGTATATATCCTGACACTGTATCTTCATATGTGATGTTTTCCTTGAAGATAAGACACTAAGAATAAGGACATAAATTTTCTCTTTCTCTCTCTCTCTTAATCATCCCCCATAAAACAAAGACCAAAAATTGATTATTCAGACAAAAACGACGCAGCTTTATTGATGATAGCAAGCTTATCCAATATGGAAATAAGAGTTGGTTCTATGTCCCAAGGAAAAGGAAAAGATTAAATTGAGCAGAGAAAAGAAGTAGAGCTTTAAAAATTAGATGAGCTTCATTTACAGTCTACATGTAACATGTCTTATTTTATTTATTTATATATTTATAATAAATTAAATGCTTTAATTTAAGTTAGTGGCTGATTCGGCCATTTAAGGAGGTTTGAACTGGGTGGGAGGTCAAATTTGGAGCTGCAAAGCAAAACATATATAAGCTCAGTTGTAAATCACACTTCATAGTATTTGATGGAAAATGTAGTTTAATTTGTAAATAAACATGAAATTCATTTTGTTCGTAGCCTGCTAGAAAAAATAAAAAGAAGCAACTTGCTTGACTTGTCCACGTATGAATATGATCAAAGATAAAATTAATTTTCAAAATAAGGAACAAAAAAGGAAAGGGTTGATGATGTAACATCCCAAGAAGAAAAAATGGGAATAGAAGGACCAAGTCGAAGACATTTTTTTTTTTTAGATATGGAAGGGAAAGCTTGGAAATCTTAAAAGGAATTAAGAAATCGAGGGTCCAGATCTCATCCCCTAATGGACGGCAATGTACGAAACCCACGGATGGAGAGAGGGAGCAAAATTGAAAGAAATTCAGGAAGAAAGGAGAGCAGAGCAACCAAGCAGAGAAGCATCTTTGGCTGAGAGGAACTTAAAAGAGGAAGAGAGTCAACGGGATTTATTTCCGTCTCGCAAATCCGAGAGGTAAGTTCATTTCAGCTCCTTTTTCGACTTGAATCTGAATTATAGTGTATGTAAATTCATTAGTCGAACGAGTAGGATTTGAGATGAAAGCTCGAAAGACGGAGGGAAGCACGCTGTAAGTGAATTTATCAGTGAATGTAAAATCCATACACGTGTATTGGCATGCGCTATAATGTCTGGTTTTCAATATAATCTTGGGTGAATGATAGTCGGAGGGAGAGAGCTCGGGTGAGGCCTGACAGAATGCGTTTTGGGGTGTTAATCCTGGGTAGAGATAATCATAATATAGAAGTGGAGTTTTGAGGTGAATAACAGCCAGGGAAGGGGAAATCTGTGGAGGAACAGGGTAAGCACCGAATGAGAGATGGGTACTGCTGAGAGGAAAAAAAGAAGAAAAATAAAATAAAATAGGGTGTTCCAGCTAGACTTAATTATGAACAAAATCTGATAGCCGATGCAGAGGAGAGACTTGCTGGATGATAGGCTTAACCGAGACTGAACAGAGATGAGCTGAAAAATTTTCAGGGGAATCTTACTTCTGTTAAGTGACCCAAACAGTAAATGAGAGTGAGGACAGAATAGAAACAATGACGAATGGGCATTAAAAGAGTTGAGTATGGAGTCGTAAATGGCCTGGATGGTAGTGTGGGATAGTGAGGATGCTGGTGACAGAAGCTAGAGAGTAAATATTAATCAATATTAAACTGAGGCTAATTCATATTTTTCTGTATGCTGTTTCTTATTGTGTGGTGTGTGTGTGGCCTGTGGTGGCCGGAGTGATGTGAACCAGCTGACTACCGATCAGTCAGTGGAGTGGACCAGATAACAGAGGGTCCAAAGGGGAGTGAATTTCCCGGATATGTTATGTATATGAGGCCAGAGTTGTGGCCGAGAAAGAGATGGCCGGAAGGGCTGTGTCTGGCACGCGGAATACAAGCTGTGTGTGTGTGTGTGTGCGCGCGCATGGCCCTAGTGGTTGGTGTGTGTGCGTTATTTGCTGGTGTGAACAGTACAGGTAGAGAAATCGGCCGGTGGAGCCGAGTGTGAAATCTGATAGAAAATGAGTTAAAGAATCATAGAGAGAAGAGGGATAATCATGAAAATAAAACATTGAGTTATATAAATGGGTGAAATAAGTAACTGCATTGGGTGATTCAGTTGACAAATACATATTGCTTTAATGTTTTTCAGTTGCTAGATAAGAGGAGTTGTGTGTATATGAAAGAGATGAGGGGAAATCATGGAATTAAAAGTGGAGATACCAATAAGTTAAATAGACATCTGTATTGAATGATTTAGTGGGCATGCATACAAATGTTTTTCCATCTTCTGGACAAGAATAACTGCATGTATGTGAAAGAATAGTGCAGGGAAGCAGCTTAATTCTGCAAATGGATGGAACATGTAAGTAAGTTGAATGTGGGTTATTCTGTTTAAATTATACAATCTGTTATGGAAATGGTAAAAAGTCTTGATAATGGGTGGGGGGGGGGAAGAAATTTCAAGGAAGTGTTTTGAGTTGAGGAAAACGCCTACGGGAGTGGATGAGTTTCTGCACTGTAAAAGTGATTCTGGTTGCTCGTAGGTGTTGAGTTGGAATTTACTGAGCGTTCGATACTCTCATCCCATTATCTAATGTTGTTTTTTTTCCAGATGGAGTAAAACAAGATCAACATACACGGTGTTTAGGAAATTGAAATAGAAAAATAGAGGCAGTAGGGAATTGAAAATGGTATATAAATCTTGGAGAGTAGAAATTGAATATAATAAACGATTGTATGAACATTTTTGGATTTTCTTTAATTATGTTTCTTAGTTACATTTTCCTGATGTGAATGAATGTAAGTTTTTAAGTGATATACATACACAATTATTATTGGATAAGTTTCCACTTCTCGATTGTTCCCCCCCCAACTACTAGCCTACAAAGCTAATCCACTGCAGATTAATAATTATTACAAATATATACATTTGCATTCCTATCAATTTAATTAATTATAATTCAAAACGCTAAATTAATTGTCATATTTATAACTTATTTAACTTAAATAACACAAATTTCTTGGTCACTAATTTTCTGAAAATTAGTAACATAATTGAACGTTCAAATATATATAAAGACAACCATTAAAAGAATATAATTATCTAATTAAACCCACGGTAAATGTAATCATGCAACAAACTTTTTTGCCAACGCTAAAAATATCAACAAGAAATTTACTTATAATTGCTTTAAAAAAAAAAAAAAAAAAAATTTAGGTGATAATAAGACAACTTAGAATAAATTGAGGATTAATTAATTAGAAGGTGCCGTAGGAGGAGAAATTAGATATTTCTGGTACATTCTAATTTTTTGGCATAATGAATTTAACAAAGCCGTATTCTAAGAATTTGTGAAGTTATTTGTATTTTTAGAACACCTTGGTATAAAAGATATATAGTACAAGATCTTTGGGAAAAATAATAGTTCATATATATATATATATATATATATAAATTGAAACTTAAACAAATTGGAAAAAAAAAAAAAAAAAAAGAGTTGTAATTACTTTTTAGTTTAGCCTAATTATGGATCATTTGGTATGGGTGTTTAACAGTTCACTACTTACTTTATGGCTTAATTTTTTATCACTATAAATTTTGAATTTTGTAATATTAATTTGATAAATGTAAAATTATCTTCAAAAACAAATTAAAGAAAAAGAAGTAAATCATAACCGTTAAAACAAGATATGCTCACGCTATTATTTAAATAGAAAGTTATTTATGAAAAATAATTTAGAAAATAGTTATTCCATAAAAATATGATTGATACTTTTTAACTAAAAAATTCTTTATAAGAAAATAGTTACTCAATTAAATTTAACAACCAATTTTTTTTAATAACAATTTCACATATACATTTTAATAATAATACACTCCCTTAGTTATAACATAATCTTCAAACAAAAATAACAACTAAATGTGTATATATATATATATATATATATATACATATATACAACAAATTTTACTGGGAATTACTGGTTTATTACTAACGTGTGATATGAGCAATGAAAGAATCCAACTCCATACGTGAAACTCCACCTTCACCCGCGGCTCGCCGGACTGCGGCACCCACTTCACCTGCTCTCTTCCTCGCAGCATCACCTTCCTTGGATCCCATCAACCTTCTCAAACCCTCCACAACAACCGATGTCTTCACCGTCTCCTCTCTCCTTTCCCATTCCTTAACGACGATCCCCACCTTCAGCACTTCTGTTATCAACATTGTATTTCTAGGCTGATCCGAGTGCATCGGCCATGCTCCCATTGGCACCCCCATTGTTGTGCTCTGCATGCAAGAATTCCACCCGCAGTGACTAACAAATCCCCCGATTGCTTTATGCCCCAAGATTTCCAACTGCGGCGCCCATTCTCTCAACTCCAGACCCCACTGTTTTACCGATTCTTCATACCCTTCTGGCAACTCCACTCTTCTGATCCCTTCTTCGTCGAAAATGTCTCCTTTGTCAGCATCTCTTAAGACACAGATAAACTTTTGGCCGCTTTGTTTGAGCCCTTGTGCGAGTTCCTTGATTTGCTCGTCGTTCATGGCGGTTGTTGTACCAAAAGAGACGTAAACTACAGAGTTTGGCACTTGTTTATCGAGCCATTCTGACGCGAAATGCCGTGGGTGGGATGTGGATATGGCAACAACAGGGTTCAGTGGGCCGACAGCCCAAAACATGGAGCTTCTTGCCCATGTAGTTTCTCGGTGAAGCAAATCCAAGTAAGGAGCTTCGATGACTTTGCAAGTGTTGTTGAGACGTCCATGGCTGAAATTCTGGTACTGATACTGAAAAGCAGAGTAATCCAAGAACTGAGGCGTGAAGCAACCGTCTAGAGAGGGGATGTGTGCGGGGATTATCGCATCTGGCCAGTTTGGATGTTTCTCAATTGATTCCCAAACGAAAAGAAAATAAGCAAAAGCTGATACACTGGAAAGTATAAGACTCTGCGTTGGGGATGAAAGCAACGTCTTGAATCACAGAACCCATCATGGAGTCGTAGAGGACGATAACTTTTCTGGCTTTAGAAGCAAGTAAACGGAGAAGCTCCGTCACCGGCCGGCGGAGACAATCGGAGGAGACGTTAAAAAGAGGCTGTAAATGAGATGGAAATTTGTTTACGGCGTTGGGGTTAGGAGGAGGGTAGATCAAAGGAGGGAGAGTGAGTTGGTGGAAGTGGATATTGGCGGCGGCGGAAAGTTGGTCCCAACCATGCACACTGGCGGACGTGGGTTGCGGAAGAGACGTACTGAACGGAGGAAACGACGTCGTAGGAGAGGATAAGGGGGGAAAGATGGAGGAGCTGGTTGAGATGACCTTGTGCAGGGAATGGCACGATCACCACCACCACCACCACCACCTCATCCTCGTTTGCAGCTTGACTCAGATTTTGGTGCATGCTTTTTTTCTTTATTAAAAAAAAAAGAAAAAAAAAAGGAAAAATTTCCGAAATGGGTAAAAGATCTAGAAGATTCAAGATTGTCAATCCACACCAAATTGGGGGGGGAAGAAAGAACTGGATTATGGGTTTTTATTTTTTGGCAACTACTAGTTGGGTCGCAATTGGAATTTACAGGGTTTCAAGTGCAGCATCTTTTTGGGTCAACTTTATTTTATTTAATAAAATGTGTGAATTTATATTAAAAATTAAATTATATGATGTATTCTCAGTAGGATATTGAGGCAGTCACTCGCTTGAGTAAGTTTTTTTAGAAGATAATGTGTGGATGATTTGAAAAAAATGAAGTAAATTTAGTATTCATTTCCTTGTGGAAATAAAACAAAATTATTTCATGAATTTTCAAACAAATTAAGCTTCAGATTGTTATCCAAAAAGGAATACAGAAAAACACTAGTTTCCAATGAGACAGAAGCAAGTAGTGGGAGCACACTCAGCTCAGCTCTCCGGAAATTATGAGGAACATTTGAGTCCGACGAGTAAGATAGTCAGACTAAAAATATTACCCTTCTGGGAATTTTAAGGTACCAATCCCTACTTATATTAATTATATTCTCATAATATATTTACATACATACATACATACATATATTGTTATCAAGTACTAATGTAAGTAACATTCATCATCTTGAATCACTCATTTGATGATTGGGAACACCACTCTATGATTACTTTATTTCTTAAAATGTTTAGAAATTGAAAAAAAAAAAAGAACGAGCACTAAATATTTGTATTAGTAAATGATAAGCAGATGTTATTTGTCTTTAAGAAACTAGAATAAAAAGAAAGTTGGGTTGGAATTAGACACATTGTGTTTAATTAACTGCCAAGCTGCCATTAAAGAAGTCTTTACCAACTCAACTGTTTGGCATTCTCCCATTTTTGTTACTATAATATAATCTCCTGAAATTTTGGATAAATATAAACACAACTATATCATCACCTATAAAAATTTTATTAACTAGGACATGTAAATATCCATCTTTCTGCTATTGCAGGCGGAGACCAATTCTAGGATATAAGGGACAATCCTGATTCCTGACAATACAGGCTTCCTCCCAAGTAGTCCAAGGGTACCATATGGAACAGAGACAGGGGGGAGCACAGAGAATCTTTCGACAGAATAGTGCCACAAAATGGAGGTGTTGTTTACACATCATTACTAAAAAAATATTTGAAATACCATCAAAGAAACAGCCCTCCTCATGAATCAACAATTCACTAGTTAATTTTGTAACAAGTTGAAGCACAAACTAGAGCAGAGCACCAGACCTCTTTGTTTAGTTGATTGCTCAAAAAATGAAGATAGAACTTAATCCGCTCCTTGTACCTCCACAAGACCATTCTAATACATTCAAAGAAATGCTCCATAAGTAATCAAGTTTTGCTGTATTCCCGTTATTCTTTACACTTCAAGGGCTGCAGAGATTTTTAAGATCCTCTTCTTTTGCATACCAGGCCGGTATTATTTTCGACACATGAGGATATAAATCCTTGTATGAATTTCTGATTGTCCCCTCGGCCACTCCTGTAGCAACTGAGATGTCTGCATCCAGACATCACCATGTGTCAAATAAATGCACTTGTACAACAACCATGAAACCCCAACATATCAACAGGATAGATTCAGAAACTGCCACAATAATTAGACAAAACCCAAAACCTGATTCTATTGATCGGTCAAGTCTAATTTGGGCGCGCAATCTACTCCCATGCTAAGGAAGGGAACTCTATCAATTAGCCAATAGGCTTCAACCAAGCACAAAGTCTGGTTTGAAATAAAAATGCGACTGACTGGAAAAAATTCATTGTTCTGAACAGTTAAGAGGAAGATATATCAAACCTCGGAGAGGCTTCTTATCATCTGACAGTTGGGTTATAATATAAATAACTGCAGCTGCAATTGATATGGGACTCCTCCTGCAACGGGTAGAAACCAAGGTCAAGGGGGTTACCAAGCAACAGATAATAAAAATGTATTCAATGCTCTAATAAGAAACCTATCAAGAAACTTTATTATTGAGAAAATCCAATCACTGTTAGATCAATATCAGAAAAACATGTAAGCTTGGACATATCCTCTCGAGGAGAGGTTCCCTTACAAATTCCAGCACAGAAGATTATGTTAACTATCATATTAGAATGTAAGTCCCAAACAAAAATAGGATTAAATTGGCTGTAGCATCTGAGCACTTTGGGTTCTAGAAGCGACCCTGTTAATAATATCAAAAAAACAAAAGCTTGTAACAGAACTAAATCAACACTCTTGAAAATACTCAAGTACATGCTGACTGTAAAGAAATTGAGCAGATATACTGTGAGGATCCTGTAGCTGAGCATGTGAAAAGTAATTTAAGGAGTACATACATCAAAAGGCTCTCTTAGCCAAATGGCTGTTTAGATTTCTCATTAGTACGGGTTGTTTCTGGTGGAAAGTAATACCAGGCTAGGTACAGTCTCTTAGAGGGGGAGTGGCAATCCAGCACCAATCATGTAGCAGAGCATGTGATAAGTAATTTAAGGAGTACATACATCAAAAGGCTCTCTTAGCCAAATGGCTGTGGAGATTTCTCATTAGTACGGGTTGTTTCTGGTGGAAAGTGATAGCAGGCTAGGTACAGTCTCTTTGAGGGGGAGTGGCAATCCAGCACCAATCATGATGCTTATGGTTCTGGTCGTTTAAGAGATATCAGAAAGGGATTGAATTATATGTCTGATGTTATTCATTCTAAGTTGGGCAAAGGCTTAGGTTGAAGTTTTGGGGTGATAGGGGCTGTGGTGGTCAACCTTTTGAGCTCCTGCTTCCCAATTATTTATGGCATTGCAAGTTACAAAAATGAAAGGGTTAGGGCTATTACATAACTTTCTTGTAATCTGAACAATAAGGAGATTCGTTTCTTGCTTGCCCTTGAAGTCCCATTCTATACATCCCAAATTAGATAACAAACCGATCTGGAGCTTGTCTAAGGGTGTACCTTCTTCTTCAAATCCATGCCCTGCAGAATTGAGATCTTGTCCTTGATAAATCTGCTTCAATGGAAAAGCAAATTTTCCCTCTGAATGGTGTTTTTTGTAAGGGAAGCTGCCTGGGGAGTATTCTTTCTTACTGTGGATAATTTTTCTTTTCTTTTTCTTTTTTGAGCGAACTTACCCTGGATAATTTGAGTAAGAGAGGTTGCATTGTCACAATTGCTCTGTCATCTTCTCTTAAGGTGTAAGAAAGGAAGAAGGCTTTCCAATCCAAGATCAGCTTATTGGGTATCCAACGGGTGGTCAAGAACTCTATATCTGCTGAACTGAAAGGTGGAGGGGATTCAAGATGGTGGGCGCAAGAAGACTATATAGGCTTGATACCCCAGTTTCATTTTGTGGACAATATGGAGAGAAACAGGAGTTTTGATGGTTCTGTTACTATTTTCTCTATATTACAGATCTTTGGTTCAGGACCTTGCATTTTTCCTTAAAGATCTTCCTAGGGAACGTCACTGATGTACTAACTAATTCTATCTTGCAATTTAATCTCTCTTGTACTAGGGTGGTAAAGATACTGACATAAGACGAAAAAAAAAGGATTGATAGAATTTATAAATAACTATATTTATTCAAGTGAAACGGGGATTTTAGGCTCTCAAGACGCCCACTTAAAATTGTACGTTGATCTAAGAAATTTCCTTATGTTTTAACTTTTGCCAAACAAGTATTACATTGTGAAGGATTTCCAATATAAATAAATTCCCAGCTAAATTAAATTATCCAAAGACATTGTAAACATTAGCACATTCCTTTAAACAATTGCATATCGTTAATAAAAAATGTTTGACCTATCAACTATTATGACTCTTTCAAAATGTGAAAGTTCCTATTAGATTGTTCCTTTTTGCTGTATAATTTTCTTTTATTATTTCCAAGGTCATTCCTCTTTTACAAATAGATCTTACTGGCCTAAAGATTACACTTTATTCATAATGTTATATCTAAAAAGGGGGACAAAAACCAGCATGAGTCACAAAGGAGACACTGTCCTGTATGCTTTAAATGCAAACGATAACAGAAGCAACAAGTAAACTAAGAAAGAGAAGTAAGGATTTCTGCCTGTAGCAAAAAAAAAAAAAAAGGGAAAAAATACAGATACCTTATATCGAACTCTTCAGATTTCTGAACAGCTTCTTGGGCAGCCTTAACTGCTTGATTTGTCATGCCAAGATTGGAGCAAAAACGCCTCTGAAGATTAAATTGAGATTAACGTAAGTGGGCCATGTAAATATCATGAAGAACTGACATCATATCAAGTGGAAAAGATGCCGCCTATGAATAAGTAACAGAATTAACAGCAGCTCTGGACTCCAATGATTTAAAAAGTGTGCAGGAGAACGCACCATAAAGTCTCCAGCATGTATAGTTCCCATCTCGACTGACTGACCAGTCTCCAATCCTAGTTGTTTGACTATGTATTCTTTTGCTCGGCCAATTTCCTTCTTGGTGGCTCCATTGGCAACCGAACAAATTTCTAGTTGAAATCCACACGTTCAGCGAAGCTTATATACAAAGGGAAACATAAATCAGGAAGCATCCAGATGTATAAAAGAATCTTAGGCTGTACCCTTAACAGTGCGTGGTTTGTCCTCCTGCCGACATGCAATATACAAGCAGGCAGCCAATAGAGCATCCTGATTTCTTCCTCTACTAGACTTTTGATCTTCCACCTTTTTATATATCTCGTTAGCCCGGTCCTTCAAACGAAAGAGAAAAGTACACATCAGAGGATACAAAAGAAAATCAGATATCATCCAGATGGAATGAATAAGAGGAACTAAGGGCAAGGTAGCTACTAGCCAATAAAAGAAACTGAAAAACCAGTTTAAATAAGAAAATTGGAAACCTGTTCCCTTAATATATATAGATATAGGAGGGTGAGAGGTGAGATTGATAGGGTGACTAACTTCCCAGCTTATCAGAGTTGGAAAGTGAATGCACCTCCAAGAACTGATTTTTTTGCCTGTGAAGTAAGTCAGCAATGCATTTTGACAATTGATAAGAGGCAAAATCACGGTTAATTGGTGTTATTTGTGCAAGAAAGCAGCGGAATCTTGTAACCATATCCTTCTTTGGTGTCCTATGGCATGATTTATGGACGATGATCTATGGCCCCGTGAGAATTAATTAGGTGATGATGCGTAATATAAGTACAAAATTGGGCCTTGGGGATGGGGTTTACATTAAAAGAAAGGTTGGTAAGCTGATTCATTTAACATTT